TCGCTCAATCCTATAACTGCACGGTTCCTGAACCAGGGAGGTCCTCTCTGGACCGTTGTCCCTGGCCCTGTTCCACTCCCAGCACGGAGCCACGACCCGGCACCCTTATGTCAAGCTCCCCCGCCGCCCCAGCCCACACCAAGTACATTCATATTTCTGGGAAGAGTGTACTGAACAGATGGAAGTTTAGTACTATTTTTACCGTTGCTGGTGCAGTGAATGTAGAGAGCATGATAATTGATTATCTGGGACAACAGAAATGCACAGGAACTAGAATTTCAAGGATTAGGGTCTCCCCGAGGATTTCCTTCGAGTTTGAGTGAAGGGAGAGATAACCTTTGTGGTGGAAACGGAAACACGGCTTTCAGTTCCCATCTGTGGCCAGCCTCCGGAGACAATAGTATTAAGGGTGATGTGAACTTCCTCTGTTCATCGCCACGGGACGGGAGCCTGGACGCAGTTATCTGCGCTTCTATAGCAACGCTGTTCAACCTCTCACAGCTTTTTCTTTTGGTGTCCTACCAGAGGCATTCAACTAATGCCTGTGTTTAATGTGTCTGGGGGTAACGGTCCCATGTTTCATCTGTTTTAAAGGACATTTATGGAAATTAGGTGGCAATTTTATCCTGAGTAAGCAGGCTAATATTCTGTCACTCTGCATTACTCAAGTGGCAGTTGCTCTTAGAAAATAGATGTTAGGTGCTTTCAGTTAAGTGGCATTAAACTTTTGTGGACCGAGCAGTAGGATTTCATTGCAAATGCATTGTCCCATTTTAGTGGAAGCTTTGCATTAGCAAGTACTGTCTTAATAAATTATTCTGTTCAACCTACCTTGTGACTTATACTATCATATGATCCTGCCCTTAATATTAGAATGTATGCACAGATTTCCTCTCCCAAGGCTAAGGCTGCATAAAAAGACTTACACCGAAGCTAAGAAATCCTGTCTGGATCAAGATAATTTTTCTGTGAGAATAAGGGAAAACAAATATCCGTGCACTTCAGAGAGGAAGAAATTCTGCTGTAGATTGTTCTTCCTCCGTCATGTTAAAAAAAGGAATCTTGACTTAATATATAGTCTGTTTCCAAACTATTGGCATCTTTCACAAATTTAGGCTGGCTGGTTTATGAATGAACAGCACAGTTTGTGTAGCCAAAGATGGTTGTCATCGTGCACTTATTAATGAGTACACATATCTTTGAACATCAAATGCTGTGCTGTTTTCAGAGAGGTCCTTTCAGATGCTATTTTGTGTTCTTTTTTTAAATTTTTTTTTTCCTTACCCTCCTGCCATTTTCCTTCAAAGCTCAGTGGTAGAAATCAGAGAGGAAAGGGACCTGGGAAAGGAGATGTTCTCATCCGTCCAGCTTCCCCGTGTCAGGAGCTACTCCGTGCATGTCATTCCTGACAGATGTTTGCCTAATCCGCTCTTAAAAAACTCCAGTGACGGGGCTTTGACAGTCTCCTTAGGCAATCTGCTCTAGCGCTTTGCCGTGCCCATCATTAAGAAGAGTTTCCTTGTATCTAACCCGCAATTAAAGGCCGCGATTTCGGGCACAGCCCATCAGCAGGCTGACCTTGCCGCCGAGGCAGCTCCACCAAGTCGACTGCAGTTTCCTGGCTAGACCTTCCTCACCAGCACTGCTCCTCTTCTGCCAGGACCAGCTGGGGAGGTGCGAGTGCCACCGGTTTTGTGGAGCGTCCAGCCTGGCATCCCACAGGCCGGCCACGGGCAGGCTTCCCTCCCGGATCCTGCGCAGCTGAGGGGAAGGCGGCTGCCTGCCAGTGCAGGCTATTGAATTCGGAGATTCAGTCAGTCCCAGGAGAGCCTCTGCCACAGCGAAGTTGCAGCAGTTTTGCGCTGATAAAGCCGGCAGCCCTCACCACGGTCCCAGGCCTCAGAATAGGAGCTGAAGCCTTTTTTGTCCTGGAACAAAATGTGCCGTTGAGGGCGGTTGTACCATATATTGCATATGTGCAATCAATCACATCTAGCATTGTGGACATATATATATATATTTATTTTTTTTAAATGAGAGCATTTCTATAACGATTTTAGCAGTTTAAATGCATTTTAAAAAATCAGAGAGATCAGGGGTTTGGCTTGGGTTTTTTTCAGTTGCTTTCTTTTAAACAATAGCAGGCAAAATACATCCCGTGGCAGCCAGGCCTGATGGAGAAGCTGTGGGTGAGGTCGGGATGCTGAGGAGATGAGGCAGTCCCTTACTGGCGTGCGGCAGCGCTTGAGAGTGGGTCAGTGTAGATACAGGCATATCACAGAATGACCACGGCAAGATAAACTCTGAGCCACTTCTTTAACACTCTTAGAACAGTGCTGAAAATTGTAAGAGTGGTTCCCTCTGCAAATTATTTACGACTGGAAGATGGTAGTAATGAATTAATGTGAGGCAACTGGAGAATTAGCCCTGACTGCTGAGAATAGGTGTGTTTTTACAATGGAAACCAGCTAGCTAACCTAGGTATACTTTTGCTGCCTGAGTAAATTATAGTAATGTGGAGCTAAACTGGTTTTGGAACTAAGGAAATTATAGTGGCATCCAGAGTTAAATAAAATAAGGTTCGGATCAGTAGGAAGGGTAGCATGTTGCCATCAGCAGGGGTGAATAACCTCTGCGTAACTGGCAATCTTGGTAAGCGGGTCAAGGTCGGTGAGGTTTGTCCCTATATTTTGACACACGCAGTACAAACACCCTGATACCCATTTCATTTTACAAGGTGTGTGTGCGTGCACCCAGATAATGCTCCATAGGGTCACCGGCAGGTTACAATGTGCCAGCCATCACGTGCATGGTATCTAGAATAGTGCCAAGATACGATTTCAGGGGCCTGCGGGGGCCACCGATAGCGTGCAGAGCCCTACGTAACACCTGTGCCCCCACGCAACGTCTCGCCAGCTCTCTGTCACTGAGCATCCCGTTGGCACCTGTGATCCCGAGCTGGCAGGTCCCTTTCTATTTGTGCAAGGCACTTTTAAGGCATTTTTCCCCCAGTTTTCTTCTAGACAACCTGGAAGAGCTTCATCGAGTTGCCCGTATTCCTTCCTGGAGGAGAGGAAAGGACAAAGTTTGTTTTCAGAATGAGAACCAGAGTGGGGTTTTTTTACAAAACACGGTCAAATTTGAACTTTGTGCTCCACGCAGCATGGGAGGCAGATTTATTGTGTGGGAGAGGTTTCAGTTTCAAACCAGTAATTAGAAGAATACATTTAAACCTTTGTCAGTATAAAAGTGATTTCAGGTGCTCAGGAATGCTCTGCCTCTTCCTTGTGGTTTGAAGGAAAAATTTTAAACATTTTCCACCCTGCAGCTATTGAGGGCAGCAAAAGAGAATTCCTATAAGCTGCTAGGAAAGGTAGAGAAAAAACTCGTTTCCCACTTCTTGTAATAATCATCAATTGTAGGTGCTACTCGAAACATACTTTTAGTCAAACTTCGCACTTTTAAAAATGGTATTTTCTGTCAGGCAGGGTTTGTTCACGCCCCATGGCTGACGAGCAGAGGTCCAAGTCAAAGCCCACTGGAGTCAACGGGCTTTCGATGAGGTGCAACCCACCCATGTTTTTCCTAAAAATCCCCGGTGCTGTTACCCCCCAGCTCCTCTTTCCCAGCCCGTCTCTCCCCGGGGAGAGGCAGAAGCCTATTTGAAGGCAAACAAGCTGCAGAGCCTACAAGGTGCAAATATCTTTCATAAATGCCAACTCTGAAAAAGCCTGGGCTCCGGGAGTGTGACACACGACGACAGGCAGTTCAGGCAGCGCGAGGCGGGGACGGGGTGGCAGCGCGAGATGCGGGTGCATTGCACTTGGGCACTTGGGCATCCCTGGACCCCCCTGGAAGGGGGACGTGGGGCAGCTGGAGGGATGGGGAGCAGGACTACCTGCTCCTCACCCCACCGCCTCCTCCTGCTCCCCTCACCCCCATTCTGGTCACAATTCCCCCCACCACCACCACCCCCTCCCCTTTTCTGCCCTCCTCCTCTTCCTGGCTTCTTCGGGCAAGGGGCTGATTTAAATAGGTTGGCAGGGAGCCAGGAGCTCATCATTTTAATGCAGTGTAAAATGGAATGTGCATAATTATATGCAAGCCATATGTGAGGGAGACAGCTCAGCTGTGAATTTCGGGAGGCTGCGAGAGGGAGAGAGCGAACAGTCAGGGATCAGATGAGATGGAGCGGAACGGAGTGCAAGTGTCACCCAAATGAACAGTGTAATGAGTGTATTGCTGACACTCCTCCTTTCACCTGCTTCTCCCTTTTGCTTTAACTCAAAAGCAGAAAATGCTGTAGATGAGAAGGGAAAAATACTGTATGCAAGCAGGATTACTAATGGGCTCTGGTAATGTCTCCATTTAAACTTCAGCTTTCTTAATTAACAGTGCAGTTCCAAATAACCGGTAACTTTTAATGCATCTTTGTCATTAAATATTTTGACCGCATTTGACTGAAGGATCATTGTTCTTGCTAGTTGATTGCTCCTTTCAAAGCTTCACTTAAACATGGAGGGGGAATCCATTTATCTATAATAGTATTACATGTAAATTATGAGTATGAAAACTTACTTATTTTTTTTGGCCTTGCTGTTAACCTTAAAATACAAGTACATTATCTAGGGATTGCTTAATCATGTAAAAAAGTCTAAACGAGTACGTATGTAATGTAATCTTGAAAAATGCAATGGAGTAAATTGAAACCCTGAGTTACTCACAGTTTCCAGCTCAAATATTTTGTTTGGGGTTTGTCTTTTGTTGTTCTAATTATTACACCACAATGAATTTGCATGTTCAACCTAAGCTATGTAAGAAAACAGCATCCCAAGTTCTCATATCTAAAAGGTGTACTAAGCATTTAAAGAAGCTTTTTAATAATGTTGTATTTTGGGATTCCCGTCTGTTTTAATGATCTGAGCTGTTATACTTTTAGCTATTTTTTTTTCCTTCCATTATTTGTAAGTCCCTAAATAGGCCATTATATTTCCCTTCAGGCTAGAGATGAAGATGGACATGCTGAAAATTTTCCCCAGCAGCACTATGCTAAGGAAACTCCAAGACTTGCCTTCAAGAATAACTGCGAACTACTTGTAAGAATAACATACTTACAACAAGTCTAGATTGTTACTTTAGCACAGTGAAAACCGTTTTTTTTTTTTTTTGAAAGGCTTTTGTTCATTATGACATACATTATGAAATATGATAGGTTTTTTTTTCTTTTTCCTGTTTAGCGTTCTAATGCTAGTTCTGCTATCCGTGAACAATTTAAGATCTCAAGTTGCTTGAAAAATCTCTTATATTTGATGACAGCACGTGAATGGCCTTGTCGTACTACCTTGTCTCGCACGGTAAATCAGGGAGAGCCATGCAGGGAGTGGCTGGTGATGCACAAAAAGTCCCCCCACCCTCTCCGAGGTGCCCCAGAACTCACTCTCCCATCCACCTTTTAGCTCTGCCTTGTTTTCGGGTGGTGGCGGCGGGTTTTGCTCTGCCGACAGGCAGTACTCCCTTTAAAGCTCGCCTATTCCTCCCCTTCCTAGCTGCATGCAGGTGGGAGCATCCTCTCCTCTCCACTCCTCTCCTCTCCACTCCTCTCCTCTGCTGCTGGGAAAGAGCGAAAGCCAGGAAAGCACATACAGGGAGCCTGGAGTGTTTACAAGCCGTAAGAGAGATGATGTCAGCTGTGAAAGGATCTCTGTTCCAAGGCAGGGTTAATTCGCTGTTCATTTTAGCATTTGCAGCCAGGCAAGATTAAAAGCAAGCAGGAATGCCTATTATATTTCTATTAAATGAATCTGTTGGGACCTAATGTTCTTGATTAGCTTGCGAAAATGAGTGCTCCACGATGAGTTTTTCTGTTTGCCTAAAGTAAACAGAGAAAGAATTGTAATATGTTTAAGAGAGATTCAGGCATGGCTTTCCAAAAGGGAGTTTCAGATGAATTGGTAGATCTCTCCCTCGCATTCGCCTTTCTTCTCGGCCGTACTTAGGTAAAATGTACCGTTTGGTTAAATGGGAATATTTGTGGAGAGTCAGAACATGGGGTTATATTTTGAAAAAAGCAACACGTTTTTTCCCATTCTAACTATAGAAGAGGTGGGTGGCGATGGAGGAGCAAGCTCCATTTCCTCTGCATTAAAACCCGTGGCTGTGTCCCCCGTAGAGGATGCAGGGCCAAACGCTGACCGTGGTGTCCCAGGTGTAACATCCAGCAAAGTCGAGCAGATGAGCTGACGTAACCCAGTGCTGAAGCTGGCCCCCAGATTCAGGCACCTGATCAGAGAAGCCCAGACTGGAAGGCAGCAGCCCAGGGTTTGTGGCCTGTCCCCACTCCCGGCACTAGCCACAGCACAGAACATCTTGGTCATACCTGCCACAGGCTCTCCTACCCCCAAGTGTCCCCTGTGCTGAGCCAGCCCCTGGTTAGGTAGTGACAATGCTTTTTAGAGCCACAGGTGTCACTCGGAAGGGTCAGATTGTTCCCACTATAATTCTCCCCAGCCACAAGCAACGTGACCCCGAAGACCTGATCTTGTTTTCTCCCCAACCCCTTGCAAAATTCCTGTTGGTTTCAGGGACAGCAGTTTACGTTCTGAGGGGATGAAATTGGACTAACATAAAAAGTGATTCCCCGGTGCAGTCACAGTTCTTGTGCCAAATAAGTGAAACTGTTTTTTCAAGGCCATGATTAATTACTGTGCTGCGGGTCAAATCAGGCCTGACGAACCATCACAGCGCACCAAGGTGCCCCTGAAGTCAATAGGGCTTCTTGGTGCTGGAGGGGTTTAGGACTAGAGTTGGGAGACAATGCAACATAAAATAAGTCATGTATTATTTCAATTTAAAATCAGTTTTATTTTTAGTGCAAGCAATCAATGAACCAATTAACCCCCTCAGTACTATTAGAACCAAGCATTCATTTAATGCCCAGTTAATTATTCCTCTATTGGTATGCATTTAGGTTTTTGCTTTATTATATCACTCCTGTGCCTGGCAAAAGCTCAAGTTATGCAAGTTAGTCTTTCATGTGCCTTTTTTTAACAAGTTTCAGTTCTTGTTTAAGGAAGTAATAAAAGCAATTTGTTATAGTTTTCTTTTCCTATGCTATTGGAAACAAAATTGGCAGGGATGTAATCTTTACTCTATTTGCATGCGGAAAAAAAAAAAAAAGTAGATGAATAATGAATGTGTACCTCTGCTATCTTTAAAGATGTATTTTAGGAACTTTCAGTGAAAATATGATGTTGAACCTAGGCTTTGGTGGTGGGGAAATGAGTGTTATTTGTCAAAGATGCTATGTGTTTCACCAAGGTAGTGGGTTTCCTTCTGTATTTTTACTTTTTGGGAAACAATGCTGTATTAAAATGTGCTCGAGAGTAAAGTGAATTTCGAAGGAACTGGTCATTAGGACAGCATCTTTCTCCTAAAAGCTAGTCAGTATTCCTAGGTTTGTGTTAGGAATTGTCTCCTTGAGTGGGGAGAGGGGAAAAAATAGGAAAGAACGGAGTGGGGACAGCTGCTTCCTCTAAAGAAATGTATTTTCCCAATGGTAAAAACTTACCCAGAGTCTAACAGTGCAAGTCAGATGCTGGCTGAGCAAAAAGCTGAGATTTTGTTAAATGAAAGAGAAACTGAAACTTGTTTATGCTTTAGAGAATCGAGAAATCCTTGGAGTTTTCTCAGTATGGTTGAGAGTGAGTAGTGTAATGGCCTGTCAGGTGAAACAGGAGGCTTCAGCTCAAAAGTGCTTTCTTTGCTTTAGGGTTCAGCTGCCATTTTCCAGCAAGGTTTTTTCCAGCAAGCAGGGGCTCCTCTGCTTGGCAAATGCTCCTTCTGGGAGGGTGCTGCCATGCGGGAGGGATCCAGGGGCTGTGTCTGCGTGCCAGGGCTCTCCCACAAGAGCCGCGCTACACCGGCTGAATCTTAACATCCCAGGTCACCAGCACACACAACAAGCTTTAACTCCTGAGTACTTGGAGGGACTGGAAAGCATAGTGTCATAGAGTATTACAAATTGTATGCTTTCTTCATTGCTTACTCCTCAGAAGAGGAGATAATTTGGTTAGCGAGGTACAACTCAGCTATTTGGGGCTTTTTTTGAGAGAGAGTGCTTGATAGGAAACAGAAGGAAGAAAGAGGCATAATTTAGGCAAAAGAAATCCCTGAAGTGCTTAGGGTAGTTCGGCACGTTAAGAAAAGCAGTGATAATTTAAGATTTTGGTTGGTATAGAAAGCCATTGTGCAGTTACGGGATTAGATTAGGGTATTCCTTTCCTGTGCTAAATCCAGATACGTTGTGTGATGCCCATTTGTTGTAGAGCACAGAAAATAAAACAGTTAAAATGCTCTAGCCGATGAGGACATCAGATTTTTCTTGTGAACTTTTCAGTATTTTTGAGAATCGTGTTTTTTTAAGTTTAGCTACCCATGATAAATACTGGGAACTACATAAAACAAAGCTATTTTTAAAGAGCCAAGCTAGCATGCCATCTTGGCCAGCCGTACAGCCTTCTCCCATAGGCACTGCCTCAGGATTTTTATTTCTTATTCCACGAGTGGCTGGAAGCTTTTCTTTCAGGCACATCCCTTTGTTTCCAGAAGGACAAGGCAGAATTTAGTCCTCTGGAAGCTGATTGTCGAGGAGCAGTACAGTCCAGCTAATAGTGGATGTGGGGAGAGAGATGGGATTAACTGCAGAGAAAGGGTAGGCTGGAGTGAAAAGGCCAGTGAAAAGCCCACAGCCCGGCTCTAGCCAGCTGAAATTCCTAAGCCATTGCCTAGAGAAAGGAAAAATCCATCTGGCACCTACCCAGGTTAGTCAGGGTAGGAAGAGCCATGCTTGGATGCCTTTTAACAAAAGTGGGAAAGAAAAACCAACAGTTCGTCCTTCCCCGCCCCCAGTTCCCCAGAATATTGAGTCAAGGTTTCAGATTGGCACGCTGCTGTATGAGCTGAGGAGGGTTTGATGGGTTAAGGAAATTAAACGCCAGGTTGCTTTCCAGATCATTTGTTTATGAAGATGATCTGAGTACCACCCACCACCATGGGATTATATGTAAAGCAAATAAATAACCAAACAAAATATAAACACCCTAAAAAAAACCTAGTTCATTTCCAGTCCCACACCCAACTGTGATCCGCAGTTTTCCTGCAGTAAAATCATGATCTTTTCCTCTTTGAAATCAGATTTGCTCCTAGTAGTTCTGCTCTAAGAGGATAAACTCTTGAGTCCAGTATGTGATGAATTATAAGGTAGTCCTGGTGTTTGAAAGCTGTTATGTAAAAGACACAAAATAAAACATGTTTGTTACTGGATTTAATGCAGACTCACCTATGGCCAGTTATCTTTAATCACTAACAAAAGGAGGCAGAGAAAGCTCTGAAAACAGATCTGCAGCTCAAACATGAAATGCAAAACGTTCTCCCACAAGCAGAAGGCCTTTGGGGAGGCTCTGGCAAAGCTGAGAGGAACCAAAGCTAGAGCTGATGCTTCACTTGAAGTTCCAGCACTAGAGGCAGGCTCAGGAGTCATAGCACAGGTGGGGCATCTGGCCAGGGTGGCAAGGACGCAGGCAGGTTAGCCTCAGCGTTACAGTACTGGAATATGGGAAACATTTCATACCTACAAGCTGGTTTTAAAAAGCAGTTGGAATATTTGTGATCAAATGAGGCCAGTAAGTTTTGTAGTCATAGTCAAGTGAAATGTAAACATGCATATCGGTATCCTTTGGAGGCCATGGGAGTTTTGGTTTCAGAAAGTGAGGTTTGAATTCTTTTTTTAAAGGTACCTGATCTGATTCCTGTGTCCCAGTGTCAAGCAAAACCACTCCCTGATAGTGCTTCTGCGTTAAAAGAAAGTAATTTTCAGTCCATTTATGATCACTGTGCCTTCAAATGAGGCCTGGATTAGGGGGAGATAGCTTTGCTCGTCCCCTCTCTTCCCTCTTAGTCTTCTATGCTGCCTCCTTATTCTTAGCAGAGAGGAGAGAGAAAGCAAAGGCTGTTCCCCCTGTAGCTCTCCCTGGCTCTTCCTTCACCCTGTTAGGTGCAACCAGCAGAGAGAGAGGGAGAGCACTTCCTTCATCCTGGC